AATTCTGGGAGTTGAATTCCAACATGGCTGACTCAGGAATTCTGGGAATTGAAATGCAAAATAGCTGGCTCAGGAATTCTGGAAGTTGAATTCCAACATACCTACACAGGAATTTTGAGAGTTGAAGTCCAACATGGCTGACTCAGGACTGGGAGCTGAAGTGCAAAGTGGCTGGCTCAGGAATTCTGGGAGTTAATTATAACATGGCTACTCAGGAATTCTGGGAGTTGAAGCCAACATGGCTGCTCAGGAATTGTGGGAACTGAAGTATAAAATGGCTGGCTCAGAAATTCTGGGAGTTAAATTTTAACATGGCTGCTCAGCAATTCTGGGAGTTGAAGTGCAAAATGGCTGGCTCAGGAATTCTGGGAGTTGAAGTCCACAAGTCATGAAAGGGCCATGATTCCCCACCCGTTCTAGATATGTCCTTAGGTCTCCATTCCTGCCCTTCTTCTCCATGCGTTCCCCACCCTACTCACCAACCATGTGTTTCCGCACGTGCGCCATGGTGTAGAACCTTTTCTCGCAGATCTCGCAGGAGAATTTCTTCTCGGCGTAACTGTGGACAATTTTGTTGTGCTCATGCAGCGACCAGAGCTTCTTAAAAACCTTCCCGCAAGTCATGCACTGCAAAGGAGAAGACCCAGGGGTCACCTCTGGAGCTGTAAATCTATCAACTGAATTCCAGTTTTAATGTAAGAATAGCCTAAAGTGGGTTTTTGCCCCATTTTATGACATTTCTCGACCCGGTTAAATGACTCAATGTAGTTGTTAAGTGAGTAACCTGGTTGTTAAGTGAATCTGGCTTCCCCTTTGAGTTTGGTTGTCAGAAGGTTGCAAAAGAGGATCTGCAACGGTCATAAGTACAAGCCAGTTGTCAAGCATCTGATCATTTGATCACCTGACCAAGGGGATGCTGCAACGGTCATTAAGTGTGAAAAATGGTCATATCACTTTTTTTCAGTGCCACTGTAACTTTGAACAGTCACTAAACAAATGGTTATAAAGCGAGGACTGCTTATACAGGATTAAACCTTCTTGTCCAATCAGACATAGTCTTATCCATGTTGGCCTATCAATTGATTGCCAATATTACTTGGATCAATGACCCTGATTATTTCAGCTTTTTGAACCTTGGCTACTTTAAGAAGAGGTGGATTTCAACTCCCAGAATTCCCCAGCCAGCAAGCAAATTGTCTGGGGAATTCTGGGAGTTGAAATCCACCCTCTTAGAAGTTCTCAAGGTTGAGAATTACTGTTCCAGCTTCTTGACTTACACCATTCCTTTAGTGACCGTAGAACAGTACTGAAAAAAGTGACTTGTAATCTGTCCTCACACTTACAACCGTTGCAGCGTCCCCTGGACATGTGACCAAAATTCAGGAACTTGGCAAGGGGCAGGTATTTTTTATTTATTTGTTTTTTTATTTTAATTATAAGAATACAATACGGTGCAGCCAATCTGGCATTACAATTATTATACATTTTACTCAGGAGTGGGATTCAAATTTTTTAACAACCGGTTCTGTGGGCAGGGCTTAGTTGGTGGGCGTGGCTTGGAGATCATGTTATTGGGTGGGCGTGGCCAACTCAATATCACTCACATCGAGGCACGCATCTCCTCGCCTGGCCTCTCGTGACTGGGGGGATGCTGCAACAGTCGTAAGTGTGAAACATGGTCATAAGTCATTTTTTTCAGTGCCATTGTAACTTTGAATGGTCACTCCACACAAGCAAAGTACCAGCAAAGGAGGGGGAAAAATACTCCAGAGAACTTCCAGAGACAGGAAGTCTAGTCCTGCCAAGAATGTAATAAGGGTTAACGGAGAGGCAGTTTCTGTAAGCAACCCCAGAATGTTTCCTTCCTGCCTTCCTTACAGGATTAGCCCAGTAATTCCTTCTAACAACCGGTTCTCCGAACTGCTTAGAATGTTAACAACCGGTTCTAGCGGGTGGTAGAATCCCACCCCTGGTTTTACTTCATCATTTATAATCTCCTTATTTGATATATTATTTATTAATTGTTCTAATCATCATAACCACTTATGTTCCAACCTTGCCTTCTTCTATGCAACCATTGATAGAATTTATTCTATGTTTCATAGTACTTAAGATTTTCCCTTGTTTTTTTTTATTCTGGAGTTAACCTATCTAATTCTGCACATGCCATAATATTTCTTGTTATCTCTGTTTCTGGCAGTATGTTTTCATTCTTCCAATATTGTGCATATATTATTTTGGACACTGTTAATACATGTACTATTAGATACATTAAATCGTGCCTATATCTTTCTGATAACAGATAACAGATAATCACAGTTGGAAGGGACTTTATAGATCATCTAGTCCAACCCCCTGCCCAATATTGTATGATATATGATATAATATATGATATTATTCCTAGGACAAAAAAATTCGGTTTAAATTTTCAGTTGTGATTGCCATTTGTGACCTTCCGACAAGCGAAGAGGGAGAATCCAGATTCACTTAGTGACTGCCAGACTCATGTAGCAAGTGCAGCGATTTGCTTAAAGACTTTGCAAATTTTGCAAATAAAACCATGGGCTTTTCTTATTTACTGATCCAGAGTCAATTTTGTAAAAATCCTTCCCTTTTCTCCTTGCAATTTTGCTTTCAGCCACAGGGTGGCGATGCAGGCTACAAACACACACACAAACACACACAAACACAGGGATGAACACACAAACATACACAAAAACACCCCTTCACAAGAAATTCAGTTTGAAAATTTAAGATTATATAATCGTTGAATTGCACACATTCTGACTCACAACAGGCTTACTGGAAACTGAGAAGCCGCTGCTAAGGTTGATCCCAGATCCTTCATATATGGATCTTTTGTGGCCTGAACCAAAAGTGAAATTTTGCGACATACCACAACTCCCGGTTGGGTATTCAGGGCAAATTAAAGCAGGTACAAGAAAGATAAGACAACAATTGTTCTGAGCAACAAAACACAGTTAGTCCTCGACTTACAACAAAGTTTATTCAGTGACCGTTCGAAGTTACAACATCACTGAAAAAAGGCGTCTTATGATCACTGAAGCGTTCCCGTGGTCACGTGATCAAAATTCAGGTGCTTTACAATTGACTCATATTTATGACGGTCGCAGTGCCCCAGGATCACATGATCCCCTTTTGCGACTTACTGACGAGCAAAGTCGACAGGGGAGTTGGATTCACTTAACAACCGTGTGACTAACTTAACAACTGCAGCAATTCGATGGCGGCAAGAAAGGTTGTAAAATGGGACAAAAGTCACTTAACCAATGTCTCACTTAATGACAGAAATGTTGGGCTCAGTTGTGGTCATAAGTTGAGGACTATCTGTGTTCTTTCCTCTTATACAGATAGTCAACTTAAAACCATTTGTTTAGTGACTGCTCAAAGTGACTTATGACCGTTTTTCACACGATCAAAATTCAGATGCTTGGCAACTGGCATGTACTTATGACTGTTGCAGCATCCCAAGGTCACATGATCCCCTTTTGCGACCTTCTGACAAGCAAAGCCTTTGGGGGAAAACCAGGTTCACTTAACAACTGTGTGACTAACCTAACAACTTCAGTGAGTCACTTAACAACGGTGGCAAGAAAGGTGGTCAAATGGGGCAAAGCTACTTCACTACTGTCTCTCTTAGTGACGGAAATTTGGGGCACAATGGTGGTTGAAAGTTGAAGATGCCTGCTGAGCTGGGTCAGCCTCCATCTTGCCACGTTGAACGGGAGCGTTTGCAACTGTGCTGTTAGCCCTCGACCTAGGACCGTAATTGAGCCCAAAATTTCTGTTGTTAAGTGAGACATTTGTTGAATCAGCTTTGCCTCATTTTACGGCCTTTCTTGCCACCGTTGTTGTTAAGTGAATCACTGCAGCTGTTACTCAGAGGGTTGGTTAAGTGAACATGGCTTTCTCCCATGGACACTGATCGTCCGTAGGTCACAAAAGGGATCACACGACCCCTGGACGGCTGCAACCGTCATATATACGAACCCGTGGCCAAGTGTCTGAGCTTTCATCGCATGGCCATGGGGATGCTGCAACAGTCATAACGGCGAAACGCGGTCATAAGCAGAGGTGGGTTTCAAAAATTTTAGCAAGGGGTTCTCTGCCCGGTTGCTGGGCGGGCGTGGCCATGGTGGGTGCGGCCTAGTCAGCCTCCTGTACCATGACAAGGGAGGGGGGGTTTTTGCCCTCCCCGGGCTCCGGAGGCTCTCTGGAAGCCGGGAAAAGGCCCATTTCCAGCCTTCCCGAACTTCTGGGAGGCCCGTTTTCCACCCTCCCTGAGCCTCCGCGCAAGCCCTGCACTTACCTGCATCCAAAACGGGCCCTGTGGGGACTCCCGGGAGGGGAGGGAGGGGTGGGCGGGGCCAGCCAGGAGTGGAATTTGGGGGTTCCCTGAATTCTCCCGAACCCCTAGGAGGACACCCCCCTCAGTAGCCCATCCCCGAGTCAGTTTTTTCAGGGCTTCCCCATCAATTTTGCTTATCGGACGGTCGCAAAACGTGACCTCAGGACACTTCCAACCGTCATAAATATGAGGAAGTTGCCAAGCGTCCGAATTTTGATCAGGTGACCATGCGGGACAGTAATAGCCAGTTGTGCAAAAAACCGTCCTTACGTCGCCTCGTCCCAGCGCCGTTGTGACTTTTGAACGGCCGCTCAACGAACTGTTGTAAGTCGAGGACTTGCCTCTACAACCAACCTCATTGGAGCTCCCACCCCAAGACCTCCAGGGTGCCCGGTTGAAGGAGAAAGGAAGCCGTTGGGAGTTCCTCACCTGGATGTTCTTCTCGCAGTCCGTCTGGTGGTGCAAGACCAGCTCGCTCTCCAGCAGGAATCTCTTGCCGCACTTCTCGCAAATCTGCATGCGGGTGTGCGTGACGTTCATGTGCTTCTCCAGGTACCAGCGGTTGTTGAACACGCGCGGACACTTCTTGCACGGATAATGTTGCTTCTCCTCCAGCTTGACCTTCTGGCCGGGAGGATCCTGGTCCTTCTTCTGCTTCTTGGCTCTCTGATCCCGCTCGTCCCGCTCAGCGACTTCGTCTTCCGCTTCTCCCTCCTCCTCCTCCTCCTCTCCTTCCATCGTGGCGGGAGCCTCACCCATTTTGGGGGACGTGGATGAGTTGGTGGCCTTGGCCAGTGACCTAGTTCTCCGAGGTGCTCCGGTCTTCTCCCCTCTACTCTTGGCCACGTTGTCCCCTCTGTCCTCCTCTTCCTCCTCCTCCTCCTCCTCCTCTTCTTCTTCTTCCTCCTCCTCCTCTTCGTCTTCTTCCTCTTCTGAGGTGTTCTCCTCTTCCAGGTCTTCCTCTTCCGAGCGCCCATCTTCCTCACCCATATCTGCATCGTCCTCTTCATCTTGCTTACCGCCGTCTTCTTGTTCCCGACCCAGCACCGAGGAACCTCCTTCTGGCCGTCCAGCTTCTGCAGCCGCTTGGTTGGCCGCAGTAGGCTGTCCCTCTGCACCCGTAGACACGTTGAGGGTCTGGTTGTTCAGGTTGACCTCCACAATGATCTGCTCGCCGCGGCTGTAGGAGACTTGGCTGCCCAAGGGAGCCTCCGGAGCGTCCCCTTCCATCTTGCAGACAGGGGGAGCTCCGCCTTCCTCTTCCTTGTAGAACGTCTTGTTGGCCGCAGTAGGCTGGTCTCGGTTGCCATCCTCCACCCGCACAGAGTACGGGATGTTGCCTTCTCGGGCGAAGATCTTAGGGCGTGTGGGGTCCATTTCTTGCTTCACGTCGCAGAAGAACTGAGGCAGTGGGGCGGCTTTGCTCGCGTTGTCCGAAGCCAATGCCATGTTGTTGGTCATGGCCAAGCCGAGAGTTCGGGTGGTGAGGAGTTCCTGAACGGAGGAGGCGATGTCGGTCATCTGCAAGACCGAGGCCGCCTTCAGGACATCCTGACCGTTGGTATCGTTGACCAAGAGCTTCGAGGTGTAGATGAAGTTCAAGATCTGCTGAAGGCCCAGGGCGGTCAAAGCCTCCAGAGAAAGCTCCACTTTCTGGAGCTGCTTGTTCTGGGTGAAGAGGGAGTGGAAGAACGGACTGTAGGCTGCCAGGACCCCCTTGTGGGCCGGCAAGACGGACTTCTGATGCACCAGGACGATGTCCACGTCGCACAAGTCGGGCTGGAAGAGGCGCTGCTCGTTCAGCCTGTCCATCAAGTACGTGGCATGGAAGGCAGCATCTTCTACCAGGGAGTATTCGGGAACAGGGTGGTCAGCTGTCTTTTCAACTATCAGCTGGAGGGCGGGAAGAAGGGAGGGAAGAAGGGAGGGAGAGAAAGAAGATGGATAGATGGAAGGAAGGAGAAAGGAATGGTGGAAAGGAAGGAGGAAATAAAGGAAGGAGGGAGGGGAGGGAGGGAAGATGGAAGAGAGGAGAAAGGAAGGAGGGAAAGGAAAAGAAAGG